GCTTGGAGGATGTTTATGCCTGGAGGATGTTTATGCCTGGAGGATGTTTATGGTTGGAGGATGTTTATGCCTGGAGGATGTTTATGCTTGGAGGATGTTTATGCCTGGAGGATGTTTAGGCTTTGAGGATGTTTATGCTTGGAGGATGTTTATGCCTGGAGGATGTTTATGCCTGGAGGATGTTTATGCTTGGAGGATGTTTATGCCTGGAGGACGTTTATGCCTGCAAAATGTTTATGCCTGGAGGATGTTTATGCTGGGAGGATGTTTATGCCTGGAGGATGTTTATGCCTGGAGGATGTTTATGCTTGGAGGATGTTTATGCCTGGAGGATGTTTATGCCTGGAGGATGTTTATGCTTGGAGGGTGTTTATGCCTGGAGGATTTTTATGCCTGGAGGATGTTTATGCTAGGAGGATGTTTATGCCTGGAGGATGTTTATGCCTGCAAAATGTTTATGCCTGGAGGATGTTTATGCTAGGAGGATGTTTATGCCTGGAGGATGTTTATGCTGGAGGATGTTTATGCTTGGAGGATGTTTATGCCTGGAGGATGTTTATGCCAGGAGGATGTTTATGCTTGGAGGATGATTTTGCCTGGAAGATGTTTATGCCTGGAGGATGTTTATGTCTTGAGAATGTTTATGCTTGGAGGATGTTTATGCTTGGAGGATGTTTATGCTTGGAGGATGTTTATGCTTGGAGGATGTTTAGGCTTTGAGGATGTTTATGCTTGGAGGATGCTTATGCCTGGAGGATGTTTATGCCTGGAGGATGTTCATGCTTGGAGGATGTTTATGCCTGAAGGAAGTTTATGCCTGGAGGATGCTTATGCTTGGAGGATGTTTATACCTGGAGGATGTTTATGCCTGGAGGATGTTTATGCTAGGGGGATGTTTATGCCTGGAGGATGTTTATGCCTGGAAGATGTTTATGCCTGGAGGATGTTTATGCTAGGAGGATGTTTATGCTAAGAGGATGTTTATGCCTGGAGGATGTTTATGCCTGGAGGATGTTTATGCCTGGAAGATGTTTATGCTAGGAGGATGTTTATGCCTGGAGGATGTTTATGCCTGCAAAATGTTTATGCCTGGAGGATGTTTATGCTAGGAGGATGTTTATGCCTGGAGGATGTTTATGCCTGGAGGATGTTTATGCTTGGAGGATGTTTATGCCTGGAGGATGTTTATGCCTGGAGGATGTTTATGCTTGGAGGGTGTTTATGCCTGGAGGATTTTTATGCCTGGAGGATGTTTATGCCTGGAGGATGTTTATGCCTGGAGAATGTTTATGCCTGGAGGATGTTTATGCCTGTAAGATGTTTATGCTAGGAGGATGTTTATGCCTGGAGGATGTTTATGCCTGGAGGATGTTTATGCTTGGAGGATGTTTATGCCTGGAGGATGTTTATGCCAGGAGGATGTTTATGCTTGGAGGATGATTTTGCCTGGAAGATGTTTATGCCTGGAGGATGTTTATGTCTTGAGAATGTTTATGCTTGGAGGATGTTTATGCTTGGAGGATGTTTATGCTTGGAGGATGTTTATGCTTGGAGATGTTTAGGCTTTGAGGATGTTTATGCTTGGAGGATGCTTATGCCTGGAGGATGTTTATGCCTGGAGGATGTTCATGATTGGAGGATGTTTATGCCTGAGGAGTTTATGCCTGGAGGATGCTTATGCTTGGAGGATGTTTATACCTGGAGGATGTTTATGCCTGGAGGATGTTTATGCTAGGGGGATGTTTATGCCTGGAGGATGTTTATGCCTGGAAGATGTTTATGCCTGGAGGATGTTTATGCTAGGAGGATGTTTATGCCTGGAGGATGTTTATGCCTGGAGGATGTTTATGCCAGGAGGATGTTTATGCCTGGAGGATGTTTATGCTACGGGGATGTTTATGCCTGGAGAATGTTTATGCTAGGAGGATGTTTATGCCTGGAGGATGTTTATGCCTAGAGGATGTTTATGCCTGGAGGATGTTTATGCCTGGAGGATGTTTTTGCCTGGAGAATGTTTATGCCTGGAGGATGTTTGTGCCTGTAGGATGTTTATGCCTGGAGGATGTTTATGCCTGGAGGATGTTTTATGCCTGAAGATGTTTATGCCTGGAGGATATTTATGCTAGAGGATGTTTAGGCTTGGAGGATGTTTATGCCTGGAGGATGTTTTTGCTTGGAGAATGTTTATGCTTCTAGGATGTTTATGTCTGGAGGATGTTTATGACTGGAAGTTGTCTATGCCTGGAGGATGTTTATGCCTGGAGGATGTTTATGCCTAAAGAATGTTTATGCCTGGAGGATGTTTATGCCTGGAGGATGTTTATGCCTAGGGGATGTTTATGCCGGGAGGATGTTTATGCCTAGAGGATGTTTATGCCTGGAGGATGTTTATGCCTGAAGGATGTTTATGCCTGGAGGATTTTTATGCCTGGAGGATGTTTATGCCTGGAGAATGTTTATGCCTGGAGGATGTTTATGCTTGGAAAATGTTTATGCCTGGAGGATGTTTATGCCTGGAGGATGTTTATGCCTGGAGGATATTTATGCCTAGAGGATGTTTAGGCTTGGATGATGTTTATGCCTGGAGGATGTTTATGCCTGGAGGATGTTTTTGCCTGGAGAATGTTTATGCTTCTAGGATGTTTATGTCTGGGGGATGTTTATGACTGGAAGTTGTCTATGCCTGGAGGATGTTTATGCCTGGAGGATGTTTATGCTAAAGATGTTTATGCCTGGAGGATGTTTATGCCTGGAGGATGTTTATGCCTAGGGGATGTTTATGCCTGGAGGATGTTTATGCCTAGAGGATGTTTATGCCTGGAGGATGTTTATGCCTGGAGGATGTTTATGCCTGGAGGATGTTTATGCCTGGAGAATGTTTATGCCTGGAGGATGTTTATGCTTGGAAAATGTTTATGCCTGGAGGATGTTTATGCCTGGAGGATGTTTGTGCCTGGAGGATGTTTATGCCTGGAGGATGTTTATGCATGGAGGATGTTTATTCCTGGAGGATGTTTATGCCTGGAGGATGTTTATGCTAGGAGGATGTTAATGCCTGGAGGATGTTTATGCTCGGAGGATGTTTATGCCTGGAGGATGTTTATGATTGGAGGATGTTTATGCCTGGAGGATGTTTATGCCTAGAGGATGTTTATGCCTGGAGGATGTTTATGCCTGGAGAATGTTTATGCCTGGAGGATGTTTATGCCTGTAAGATGTTTATGCTAGGAGGATGTTTATGCCTGGAGGATGTTTATGCCTGGAGGATGTTTATGCCTGGAGGATATTTATGCCTGGAGGATGTTTATGCTTGGAGGATGTTTATGCCTGGAGGATGTTTATGCCTGGAGGATGTTTAAGCCAGGAGGATGTTTATGCCTGGAGGATGTTTATGCTCGGAGGATGTTTATGCCTGGAGGATGTTTGTGATTGGAGGATGTTAATGCCTGGAGGATGTTTATGCCTGGAGGATGTTTTTGCCTGGAGAATGTTTATGCCTGGAGGATGTTTATGCCTGTATGATGTTTATGCTAGGAGGATGTTTATGCCTGTAGGATGTTTATGCCTGTAGGATGTTTATGCCTGGAGGATGTTTATGCTAGGAGGATGTTTATGCCTGGAGGATGTTTATGCCTGGAGGATGTGTATGCCTGGAGGATGTTTATGCCTGGAGGATGTTTATGCCTGAAGGATACTTATGCCTGGAGGATGTTTATGCCTGGAGGATGTTTATGCCTGGATGATGTTTATGCCTGAAGGATGCTTATGCCTGGAGGATGTTTATGCCTGGAGGATGTTTATGCCTGGAGGATGTTTATGCCTGGAGGATGTTTATGCCTGGAGGATGTTTATGCCTGAAGGATGGTTATGCCTGGAGGATGTTTATGCCTGGAGGATGTTTATGCCTGTATGATGTTTATGCTAGGAGGATGTTTATGCCTGTAGGATGTTTATGCCTGTAGGATGTTTATGCCTGGAGGATGTTTATGCTAGGAGGATGTTTATGCCTGGAGGATGTTTATGCCTGGAGGATGTGTATGCCTGGAGGATGTTTATGCCTGGAGGATGTTTATGCCTGAAGGATGCTTATGCCTGGAGGATGTTTATGCCTGGAGGATGTTTATGCCTGGAGGATGTTTATGCCTGAAGGATGCTTATGCCTGGAGGATGTTTATGCCTGGAGGATGTTTATGCCTGGAGGATGTTTATGCCTGGAGGATGTTTATGCCTGGAGGATGTTTATGCCTGAAGGATGCTTATGCCTGGAGGATGTTTATGCCTGGAGGATGTTTATGCCTGGAGGATGTTTATGCCTGGAGGATGTTTATGCCTGGAGGATGTTTATGCCTGGAGGATGTTTATGCCTGGAGGATGTTTATGCCTGGAGGATGTTTATGCCTGGAGGATGCTTATGCCTGGAGGATGTTTAGGACCAAATGTCTAAACACTCAAAACCTTGAAGTTCTTACAAATGTCGCTGTTGTTGTTCTTGCTGTTATTTTTATTATTAATATTATTTTTATTATTGTTATTATTATTATTATTATTATTACTATATTATTATTATTATTATTATTATTATTATTGTTTTTGTCAACATTATTTTTTATTATTCACTAAAACGTTGCAATAAAACGCAAATTACATTTAGTAAAGAAACATTAACTGGTAATTTGCAGGTAAAGTTTGCTCCAGGTATATATTAACCTTGTTATAAGAGAGACTTTCTGGTAACTGTATAACCAGTTCATTCTGTCAATATTCTCATACATTAAAATTCAGTTTATTTTTAACTTAATGATGGATATCTGTGAGAAAAAAAATTAGTGGTTATCAGAGTAGGAAAAAGTCGTCTTAATACTAACTAAATTGTAATAATAGGACTCCCTTCCCATGGGTTCTAACCCCACTCGTACCGTGGGTTATTTCCTCTTAATATCTCCATTATCATCTTACAAAACAATAAAGGAAAACATATGGAAGAAGAATAATATACTTACTGAAGCGCCAGCAAGACTTGATTGTTGTAGTTTGTTATCAGAGTGAGCGCCATCTCTCCTCCAACAACCTGCAACAGTTACACGATTTTGAAACATTACTTTTAAAATTATCACCGGCCTTAATTGACAACTCAAAGTACTACAGTTGGAACAATTTAAAATAAACTCACAATACCACAGTTGGAACAATTCGAAATAAACTCACAATACCACTGGAACAATTCAGGACAAACTCTCAATACCTCAGTTGGAACAATTCGAAATAAACTCACAACACCTCAGTTGGAACAATTCAGAACAAACTAACAACATCTCAGCTGGAACAATTCGAAATACTCACAATACCACAGTTGGAACAATTAGAAATAAACTTACAATACCATAGTTGGAACAATTCAAAATAAACTCACAATACCACAGCTGGAACAATTCCAAACAAACTCACAATACCACAGTTGGAACAATTCACAGTTTACTCCATTCTACTGATTGCGCAACAACACAGAAAATGACCATATGACCTGTCTTTATAATACTCATTTGTGCTTAATTGTTATTTGTTTACAATAATGTTTTACCACTGATTACATCATTGCTTAGTTAATCTTAAGTTAATTTTAAGCTGCTCATAATGCTCTGTATACAAGTGGCTTTGGTATGCTGCACTTTACTGTATTCCTTTTTTACTTCTCTGTATCATGTTCAAATTAATAAATAAATAAAAACTAGGCCACAGAATGCAACATAATAATAATAGTATCTTTATCTACTACAAGTACATGTACAAGGTATACAGACCATAGCTGACATCATTGACATACTACTATATAGAAAGCAGCTTGTTATGCTGAGCATTTCCCGCGAATTAGGTCAGTTTTGTCCCAGGATGCGACCCACACCAGTCAACTAACACCCAGGTACCCATTTTACTGATGGGTGAACACAGACAACTGGTGTAAAGAAACACGTCCAATGTTTCCGCCCGTTCGCCAGGAATCGAACCCAGACCCTCACCGTGTGCGATATTCTAAGGTAAGTAATAAAAGCTAAAAATATAGGTGTTAAGCTAGTAAGATAGACCCAAAGAGCTGAGTTCCACAAAGTTAGAAGAAGGATGATTCAGCGAAGATGTAATCACAACTTACTCACAGACATTGACACTTAGAACAAAATAAATGTTCACACAGACCCAGAAGGTAAATTCGTAAACCGATGGTGTGGAAATCAGAAGCAGATTCCATACATGGAATCAGGAGTTAGCATTCAAAAGAGTATTAAAATATAATTTTGTCGAAAACTGTTTAAAAATTAGAGTGGGCCAATATCTGTGTGTCATTAAGGCATCTGAGAGTGAAGACCACTTGTCGTCGGGTACAAATACTGGGTCATAATCTCAGAGAAGCGCTGGAACAAGAGGAGTCATTCAGTATCTGGGGGATGGAAGAAAAATGAAGCTTGATCCAAGGAAAGGGAGGATAGTGTCAATTTATTTGAAGAAGAGTCCTACACCAGCATCGAGGTATCTCTCCAGAAGGATGTAGTATTCTTAATTTGGCTTATTTTGATAAACTCTCAAAGAACTTACCTGTAATATTTGTCTGGTCACATCTACTAGATCATGTTGGAAAGTTGCCTGGTCAGTTACTGATTTATATCTGGTTTCCATTACTCCTTCAGTATTTATCTTTTCCTTTCTTGACCTTACATCATCTTCCTCTTCTACTGAGCCTGCAAACAATCCTTCATCTTGCATGTAATTACTATTTTCTAGTTTAATCTTTCTTTCTAGTTTGTGTTGCTCATATTCATTATTAACATATTTATGATTCTCTCCTTCCTCATCGTCGTCTTCATGTTCCACTAGTACTGCCATGTTATCTCCAATCAGCCTCCAGTCAACTTCACCTTCACTAACTTCTCTTTCCTTAAAGTTTGCTGCTTCAGTTCTCTGCAACAGCTGACTCAGTGTGTCAAGCTTCATCTTCTCGCCACCAGAGGCGTCATCATCTCCAGCTTCCACATCACCATCAACAGTCGACCGTTTGAATAATCTAATGCTCTTATGTAGAATTTCTTGTTTAGTGATTTTTTTATTGGCTATTGTCTTTTTTCTTAGAGGACTCGGGGGGCTCTGATTTGCACCATATTCCTGGTAAATCTGTTGAGACTCTATGTTTAATCCCTGATTCTTGTCTTGGACAACAGATACCAGGAGGTCCCAAGCTGCCACCACATCAGACACTGAATACCACAGCTGAAATAGTGATAACTTATATTTTTTCATCTGGACACACAAAAATTGTAATGAATACAGGTTAAAAACACAAATAAGGAGATACAACACAAATGAAATGAATACTACGTATATCGACCTTAGTGTGAGGCTGAGATGAGCAGAACTCATTTCCATTGTGGCTTTATTATTTCCATGTGAGTTAGTATGTGTTACACACTTACACAAAGTAAACATCATATACAGGCATCACTGACAAGCAGAAGCTCTGAGTTTTGGAGTAAAATCAAGATAACAAGACTCACGAAATCGTAATGATACGATTGCAAACAAACCATACCACGGGCGGGGTTAGAACCCGCCAGTTGGCCCAGTGGCTAACGCGTCGGTCTGGAGATTATGACTCTTTGATCGCGGGTTCTAACCCCGCCCGTGGTATGGTTTCAATATAACAAGATAATTTTCCCTAATAATGGTTAATTTTGGAGCTATCTCTTATATGCCATGTGAATGTATTTTATAACATTCTATTTATACCTTTTATATACATTAAAATTAACTCATTAAACTTTAACTATTAATAAATAAAATAATTTTATCCTTCCGATAAAGAGAAAAAATAAAAAGGATCACCAGAAGATACCTAACAGAAGAAGGAGAGGTTTTAATAACAAATTTTACTTAGAATAAGAAAAAAAATTAGGAGTCAGGTCAACAAGCTGAGAAAACCTTGGGAAGAAATATATTTAACAGTTAAAAAACAAACAAGGGAGCCATTAGACTGAGAAGTGGAAGTACTGGAAGGATGGAAGGAATGTTATGAAAAAATGTTGAATGTTAATGAAGAAAAGGAGACAGAAATTTCTTGAATTGGCCAGGAGGTATCACCTTTCAGGGGAGAGGAAGAAGCAGATGTGATGTGTGCGAGGTGCAGAAGACACTTGGTAGAATGACAGCGGGATAAAGCAGCCAGGAAATATGTAATTAAAATAGAAATGTTAAAATCAGATGGGAATATACTTTTGATTGATGCATTTGCTTAATATTTAAATGAAGAGGGGGGGGGAGGGACCTAAGGCTGGCAGAGAGAAGGAGGGGGGGGGAGGTACCTAAGGCTAGCAGAGAGAGGGAGGGTGGGAGGTACCTAAGGCTGGCAGAGAGAGGGAGGGGGGGGAGGTACCTAAGGCTGGCAGAGAGAGGGAGGTACCTAAGGCTAGGCAGAGAGAGGGAGGGGGGGAGGTACCTAAGGCTGGCAGAGAGAGGGAGGGGGGGAGGTACCTAAGGCTGGCAGAGAGAGGGGAGGGAGGGAGGTACCTAAGGCTGGCAGAGAGAGGGAGGTACCTAAGTCTGGCAGAGAGAGGGAGGGGGGGAGGTACCTAAGGCTGGCAGAGAGAGGGGGGGGGGGAGGTACCTAAGGCTGGCAGAGAGAAAGGAGGGGGGAAGTACCTAAGGCTGGCAGAGAGAGGGAGGGGGGGAGGTACCTAAGGCTGGCAGAGAGAGGGAGGGTGAGAGGTACCTAAGGCTGGCAGAGAGCATACATAGTTCCTTAGTATAAGGGACAAGAGGATAAAAGAGAACATAAAAATTAAATGAAAATAAACCTGAAAAGTGTATTGTAAAGTTATTATTGATATAATCATGGGTAAGAAAGATAGTAGGAGTGTAGAGGAAGAAGGTTTTAAGAGTAGAGGGTGAGTAGACAGTTGACACTGAAGCAGCTATGTGAAGTTTTTATGTGGATAGTGAGGTGCAAGGATGGATATAATGGAGACATGATGAATTTTAAACTGTCAAAGTAATCTTTAGAGAGGGATGTGTGATGTCATCATGGTAGACTGTTTAATATATTTATAGATGAGGTTGTAAAAGATGTGAGAAAGCCAGTATGTTACGGAGAGATGTGGGATTGACTGTTAAACTGGCAAGGAGTGGAAGTTGTCATAGTTGCTTTTTGATGATAACACAGTTCTTTTGGGGTATTCGGAAGAGAAGTTGCCATAATTGGTAAACGAATCTAGAAGGACGTTATACCTCTGGCCAGTTCATGAAACCACAGCTTCCCTTTCTTAATCAACATTAAACAGGCCTTATGATTTGTATGTGGTAATAATAGTAATGTTTATGTAACACTTTAAGTGTGTAATCCTGATGTGACTTTTGAAAGGCATTAAGTACCTGGGGGAACCAACTTGACCCCTATAATTACCTTATTTAATGTAATAAGTTGGTTAAGTGTAGTGGAATTGTTGTAACGTTGAAGTCATTAATATTCTGATAAGGAAAATATATTACATACCTAGAAATATATCCAAATTTCAGTCAAAATAAGTGCACAAAACAGTAGAGAAAAAGATAAACAAATATGGCGTCACGGAGAGGATGGACTGGCGAGATGGTAAATATTAGTCGCATTTAATACTGGCCGATAGAAATATTGTCAGGGAATTTTTACTAAAATATAAGTGAACAGGAAATACGTCTGGAATGTTCCAGATATATAATAAAAAGCCAGAGTGTGGATGGGAAACATTATGTGGTAGCTGATTGAGACGCCATGTTGTCTACTGTATGAATCTAATACACCTCCCAGTGTGTTTAATACCACACAACAATATACACCTCCAGTGTGTATAATACCACACAACAATATACACCTCCAGTGTGTATAATACCACACAACAATATACACCTCCCAGTGTGTATAATACCACACAACAATATACACCCCCAGTGTGTATAATACCACACAACAATATACACCTCCCAGTGTGTATAATACCACACAACAATATACACCCCCAGTGTGTATAATACCACACAACAATATACATGCCTATATATGCCTCATTTTTGTTAGATCTAATTTCCCTACTCGGAACAAAAGTTGACTGAGCAGCTAGAACTAAGCTCTGGAAAAACATCATATTGGCAACCAAGATCACCTACCTGACCCACAGTCAGAGACTTAATTTCAGTTATCTGGGTAATTCCATGATATATTGAAACTAAGTGATTTGTGATTGCTTTCCCCAAACTCATCATTAACCACAAGATTATTTATTAGTGATTCTTTTTTGGCAAGAACCAAGTCAAGCAGATTGTTTCCTCTAGTTGGTTCTATCACAAACTGTTTTAAAAAGATTTTCTGAACCGTATCAAGAAAGTCACTAGTCTCAAGATTTCCTGTCATATTGTTCCAATCAATTTGTCTAAACTTAAAATCTCCCATTATCACAACATTTTCATATCTAGATGCCTTATGAATTTCGTCAAATAACAGCTTACTGCCCTCCCTATCAAGGTTTGGGGGCCTATAAATCACACCCAAAATTAATTTGTCACGACCCTCGAGAAACTGTAGCCAAACAGATTCTGTGTCCGATGTTTGTAATCTCATATCATGTCTAATATACAATTTAAATTATCTCCGACATACATCGCCACTCTACCACCCTTCCTGTTGATCCTATCAGGTGAAATAGTTTATAACCCTGTATGTTGCACTCAGAAGGCATTTCTCTATCTTTCAGGTTGAACCATGTCTCTGTTATAGCAATAATATCTGTATTACCTGCACTCGCAAGTAATCTTAGCTCATCTATTTTATTTCCTATACTCCTACTATTTGTATAGTAAACCTTAAGGGAGCTAGTCACTCGGTGCCCTCTACTATCACTCATTGTTTGTTGATCAGTTCCTTTGAATTTACTATCAACTTTATTTTGAATAATGTCTTTTAAACATATCCCTGAGGTATCCTGGTAATATCTGCTGCTTTCAACCCTAATACTGCAGCCTGATTGTTTCCCACAAACACCCATACCTCTATAATCCATCGGTTTAAAGTCCTAGACAAGTCATCAATTACCCCCTCAATCGAATTGAATTGGCTAATGCAACCACTCCATCCCCAGAGAGATGAACCCCATCCCTTGCATACGTATCACGTTTGCCATAGAATTTGCCCCAGTTATCAATGAATGGGAATGCACGTTCCTTGCAGTACCTGTCTAGCCAGCAATTAATACCAGTTGCCCTAGACATCCATTCATTGTCCACTCCCCTTCTAGGCAAGATGCTACATATGATTGGGATCCCTCCCTTTGACCTGACTACTTCTATTGCTGACTTGTACTTGTCCAGTAGCTCATGTCTATAAATAACAAAAAAGGGCACAACACCGTGACTGGAACGATACACAAATAACCAGCACCCAAAAGAGAGAAGCTTACGACGACGTTTCGGTCCGACTTGGACCATTTACAAAGTCACAGCTCCTGTCTCCTGCCCTTCCCAATGTCATTACCCCGAGCACTAAGACGGGTAATGGGCTTATTCCCATTACCTGACATAATATTATCCAACCTGCTGGCTATGTCACCAACACCAGCTTTCGCGAGGCACACCCTCTGTCTGACCTTCCTATCTCTTACAAAAAGTATTGTCCATATATCTTACCTGAGAATCTCCTACAATTAGAATATTCTTACCTTGATTAGCAGTGTGTATAATACCACACAGAAATATACACCTCCCAGTGTGTATAATCCCACGCAATATACATCTCCCAGTGTGTATAATACCACACAACAATATACACCTCCCAGTGTGTATAACACCACACAGCAATATACACCCCCAGTGTGTATAACACCACACAACAATATACATCTCCCAGTGTGTATAACACTGCACAACAATATACATCTCCCAGTGTGGTCACTATACTAGTCACTTTTCCTGTGGGAGATGTAAGGATACATCACCGAAGTAATAACTTGGTAAGTAATATGTTTTTTCACTTAGTTGAAAGAAAATTAATATCTTGAATAAGTAGATCAAAAAAGTGTACTTAAAGCTGTCATACTTATATAACTTCTTTATAATTATACAGTTCGTTAAATTCCCTATCGATCATAGAGCCATCGATCATAGTGCCATCGATCATAGTGCCATCGATCATAGTGCCATCGATCATAGTGCCATAAATCATAGTATCATTGACCATAGTGTCATCAATC